AACAGAAGTAGAACTAGAACCTGGGTCTTCTTTTTTTGTGTACAATTGTCTTTACACTAGGAAAGTTAAACTTTTTTGGTGCTCTGGGGAAAACTAAGCCCCCGTTCCCTAGGAAAGTGCATGCACATTCCAAATTTTGCATACAATTTTAGGGATTTCTAACTCCCTGAAATCTTTACATGAACACCAGGTAAAGAAGCCTCTCTTGTACCTGCTGATTCGTATGTTTGCAGTGTAAGGGGAACAGTGCCCTCGTATTTATTTAAGCAAACTCATGTAGAGAGGCACTTAGGAAGCTGTAGGCCTGTCCTCCCTTCCTTACTCCCGCCTTTATGTACACTAAATCTTAATTAGACAATAGGAATACATTTAGCTAAGTCTAAGACTCTTCCTACTACTATCTGCATTACCAGTGCTTCCAGTCATTTCTTTCAGGTCTTTTACATACATATATAGCACCCATACAAAGTAATAGTTTTGTTTGTTTTTAAATAAATGATATGTATAGTATGTTTACTTTCTCAAGGTTTTTTGAAAAAATTCATTATGTCTTGTTTTGTATCCAGGTACATAACAGAGTTCCTAGTTTCACCAAAGCCCCTCATCATTTCGTACTATCAGTTTTTAAAGTTTATTTATTTATTTTGAGAGAGAGCCTGTGCACATGTGGAGAAGAAGCAGAGAGAAGAAGACAGAATCCCAGGAGGCCCTGAGCTATCAGTGCAGTCCCATGCAGGCCTAACTCCTGAACCATGAGATCATGACCTGAGCTGAGATCAAGAGTCTGATGCTTAACCCACTGAGCCACCCAGGCACCCCCAGAACTTTTTTTTCAATTTGATGGATAAAAATCTTAACTGCAAGAAGTTTGAGCATCTTTTACATCTTTTCAGATGTTTATTAGCCATTCTACATTTCTATTATGTTTTTATCCTTTGGATTTTTGGGGGGCATATTTGACTTTTTCTTATTTATAGGAACCTCTTTTGTATTTTCTTATGTATTCCTGACCATAATCTCTTCTGTTATATATATAAATATTTTTTTTATTTGGATCATTGTGATCCTGGTTTTGCTACTGACTAGCTTTGTGATTTTGGGGGCATCATGTGGGGGCATCATTTGACTTCCACAGAACCATTTTTTCACCATTGTAAAGTGAGAACATACCACCTCTTAGCTACTGTGTTATTGTGAAATGCCAATGACAAAGTGTATGAGCTGTGTGATTTTTGGGTTCCTCATTTGATTCCATGAACCATTTTCTAGGCTGTGAAGTGTGAGCACACTAGTTTTTAAGTTTATTGTGAAATGCCAATGAAAGAGCATATAAAAGTGCTTTGGAAAGTAAAGAACACCTTCAAGTGTAAGGCATTTTTCCTTCCTTTGGCTTTATTATGACTCAGCCCTAGGAGTTGGCTTTTGTGAAGCATGTTTCATCTCCACAGATTGACCAAACTCTAAGAGTTGGGTGTCACAACACAGCAGTTGTCTCTTTGTGTTCCACATTCTTTCAGGGAAGGAAAGAAATGTGTAAACAAGATACACTCCTGTTGAACTCCTGTGTTCTTGGAAGGCATTGGGTGGGATGGAGGTGGAGAAGAGCAATATTAGGAGACTCTCACTTTGCCACTCAAAATGCTTGCTGCAAGGAGTGACACAGTAGAGTCTGGTCATTTATGGAACTGCATGTCTGCAGGGCTAGAATTAGCCTGCTCATTCTTGCTGTTATGGTCCATTTCTCAAGTAGAACACAGCTTCAGAGGCAGTGGTTCTATCTCACCACAGTAGGGAAGCATGATGTATGGTTTCCTATCCTGATTACCTTTTGCAAACAGATGATTAACTATAACATGATACCACTCTATGCTTTGGGGACATACAAACTCAAATACCATCTCAGACCTAGTAACCCTGCGCTCCTACCCTATACAGCATGCTGTAGAGGGCTCTTCCTTTGGCCATACCCATCCCCTTTGTGACTACTTGTCAAGTAGTCCCAAGTACCCAGGACTCAAGAATTACCTGATGAAATACCTTGAATCTGCTTTCAAGGCCTATGGAGCCTCTTTCTGAGTCTGTTCTTCCAAAGGTGGATCAAGCCATTAGATTCTACCCCTGATTTGTGTATATACTAGGTCCCAGGTGTGGCCAAGGGTGACTGCTTGAGAGGGATGTGCCCAGAGCTTGACTAGCTCGAACATTTGTGTACAAAGCTTTTTCAAGTACAGGAAGGGACTGGTGTGTGGGAAAAGAAAGGAGGTGAATCTGGGGTCAGGGTCCTCTACTTATACTTTTGCCCCAGCCCTGCAGCTGTTAGGGGCAGGTCTGCCCAGAGGAGCCTCTTCCTTCTGACCGTCTGCTTATTTTGGGGGGGATGGGGTGGAGCCGGAAATCATTGGGGAATGTTTTCTTCCCAGCCATTTAGAGGCTGAGTATAGCTGGCTCAGTATAGACCCCAGTTAATCTTTGAGAATAATTCTCAAGAGAGTGGGATAGGGTGTGGAATGGGTGAATTTCCTGAAAGGAGAGTATCTGTGCATCTTCCTCTGTCTCTCTCCCCTGGGTAGGCAGTGCTGCTGATGCTTGGTGAAACGGAGGAAGGATTCTGCTGACACACTGTATTTTTATGAAAGAAGGCTAAGGGTTCCCTTATCTCTCCACACAAGGCACATCTGCCTGCAGAGGGGCTGTCTGCTTCTTAGTGATTCCTTCGTCGTTTCATTTCTTTTCTGAATGTTTTAAGGCACAGTTTTGGTGCATTCCTTTCTGTTATCGAGAGCCAGGGGGGAAGTCATAATATATCAGGGCTCTTGCTGAAGAGCTTAAATTGGGCGCTGGCAGCTGGAATGTGGGGGAAGAGAGCTTTCCTGGGACGAGTGACCTGCTTGTTCAGCCAATGAGAAGCAGGTTAGAGAAATGATATCACCAGACAGGCTTTATTGTTTGATCATCTCATAAAAGCAGGATTGTGTCTGGCGACTTAACCCTTTTTTAGGTACTTCGGGTCTCACCCAACTCTCTGGTATGTGACCTCTGGATTCCTTTCCCAACTTTCTGCTGTGAGACCACAGAGATTAAAGATTTAAATTGGCGATGAAATTTGGAGAGCTGTGAACCATCATTTTAAAACTACAATTTATTAAAATTTAGAACCACAGCTAGAACAAGAATGTCAACTACTCTGTGTTTAGAGAGCACATCTAAAGCAGATACTGGTCTAGTCGTATTACACCAGGCTTTTGCTGGATAGACTTAGAAGAGAAAGAGTTGGAGAGGAAAAAAGATTGAGCCTTTCGTCTATTTTAATCTACATAAAGGGGTCTTACTAAGTATTTCCTGTTTTAGAGGAATTGGAATTGTTTCTGCAAATTAGGAAAATATCACTGATTCTGAGATCAATTTTGAGTGACGGGTATTTGTAATGTTTGTTTATATTGTACATCTTTATTATTATCCCTTCCCCCATAAAGATGATGTCATTTTACTGCCTCATGTGTCCTTTTCGTCACTGGTAAAATGTGGGTGATGATCCTACTGTACCCACAAAGGAGTAGAGATCAAATAATTTATGTGATTTTAGAGTGCACTACACATGTATTAGAATTAGGTCATTCATTTTTTAAGATTGCATGTTCATTCATTCATTTGGTCAGACTTTTTCAAACCCTTCTTGATGCTGGGCACAGGTGCAGAGATAGATGTAGTTCTTACCCTTAAGGAGTTTTAAAACAGGATGGGGCAGATAGACAACAATAAAAGTGTCTCGTGCATCTGTTGCATTTACCATGTTCCAGGCCCTTTTCTAAGTACCTTAACGTATATTCATTTAATCTTAATATAACCCCATGAAGTAAGTATTATTATTAGCTTCGTATTACAGGTAAAGAAATAGAAACATAGAGAGGCTAAGTTGCATCTGGTCACACAGCTGGTAGAGTTGGGACTTGAATCCAGGCTGTGTGGCTCTAGAGTCCATTCACTAAATCTGTGTTGACCAACATAGTAGTTACTAGCTATCTATAGCTTTGGAGGACTCAAAATGTGGCTTGTCCAAATTGAGTTGTGCTGCATGTGTGAAGTATACACTAGATTTCTTATGAAATCTTAGACTTAGTATGAAAAATGTGTATAAAATATCTCATGTTGAAATTACATGTTACAGTGATAATGATTTGGGTTTTCAGAGTTAAATAAAATATACTAGAATTGATTTCACCTTATTTTTGTGGCTACTAGAACTCTTAAAATTACATATGCGGCTTGTGTTTATGGCTTACGTTTCTCTTGGGTTGTGCTACTCTAATTATTATAATGAAATAACAGTAATGAACATCTATTGAGCATTTACTATGTATGCCACATATTGGGCAAATACTTTTACACTGTTCTAGTTAAGCCTCAAAATAATCCTGCTTACTATCCCCATTTATAGAAGGGGAAAAGGTTTTGAGAAAGTCAGTAATTTATCTGAGGTTAGTCAACTAGTTAGTGACAGACCCCAAATTTGAAACTTGTATATCTGACTCAAAAACTTGTACTCAGCCAGCGCACTGTAATACCATTTCCAATTAAGTCTTGTGGCATTTTCTTTGTTTTTATTTTTATATGGATATTTAATACTGCATATTTCTGCATTTGGTATGTAGGAGTTCAAAATAAAAACCGCTAAATCATAAAGTGGACATCCAGATCAAAATCTCTTTTCAGTGAACACTGGCACAGTGGAACCCTAAGATGAAGCAGTGTGTCAGCCTGTACAAATTGCATTTAATTTTCATTCCAATAGTTCTCTCAGGTCAGTGGGCAATTTATGTTCCGACCCTCTTTGTCCAATAGACAGAGGAAGAGGGGCAGTGCAGCTTTCTTTAGTCATTTAGTTCTCTTGGCTAATAAGAAGAAAAAATTGCTTTCTGTTTCATTGTCCCATGAAATGCTATTTGTGTTTTGAGAGAGCAACAAAATGCTGTCTAATGTCCCCTGTCTTTTCTTTCTTCCAGAGCAAAGACTCCGGCGGACTGAAGGCAGCTATGATAGAGTTGGTGGAAAGGTTAAAGTTCAAGAGCTCAGATCCTAAAGTAAGTGTTATTTCGGAATTGATTGGGTATTGGTACTCCAAGTATTTCATTCTCCTTGTGCTCAGTTCTAGGGATGTTAATGATCATCTATCTGAACATCGCATCAAGATCTAATTAAGCCTGCCTATCAGAAGCAATGTTCTAATATGCCTAGAGATAAGTCATCTGTTTTTTTCCCTTCTCTGTTTTATGACTTACAACACATAATCATTAATTGTTTTCTCTAAACTTCAGACAAGTGCATTTTTAATCTTCCTTTAACAGGACTTTGAGACTACTGTCCTCTGTGTCCATTAAATCCAGCCAAAGGCATCCAAGGTACTGCTCAGCTTAATGCTGGGGACTGGAACAGGCTCTGGACTTTTCCAGTTGGTGTTCAGCACTAGCGTCTTGTCTCTCCGCCACTTACAGGAACCAGCTGCCACTGCGAATGCTTTTGTCCTCATGACCTCGAGTCTAGTCTGGGAAATGGTTTCAACTTCCCAGTTTTCTTTGCAAGATGTCAGGAGCCCTAGGATTGATATTCTGGGAGACTCCCTACCAGGGTGGGGGTGGACTGGGAACTGAACATGCCGGAGGGATTATGACTAACACAGCCTCCCTTCTCCTACCCAGAGACTTACTGTGGCACTGTTTGGTATCGCCACCAGCTGGCCCTCTTGACAGTCAGAGCCTCTCACAACTAAACAGGGAAAGGAGCACAATTTTGTTTGACTTTTTGTATCCTCTACCTGTTTTGTTTTGTTTTGTTTTTTTTAATTTAAAGTTCTTTATATGGTGAATACACTAGCCCTGGGAGCCAGCCACTGTGCTAGGATCCTGACATTCCTTTTTTTAAAATTGTGGTAAAATATACATAATGAAACTTACCCCTTTAACCATTTTTAATTGTATGGTTCAGTGGCATTAAGTACATTCGCATTGTTGTCCAACATCACCACCGCCTCCATCCATCTCCAGAACTTCTTCATCATTCCAAACTGAAACCCTCTGCCCATTAAACACTAACTTCTTATTCCCCCTGGCTTAACATTCTTGTGATTTTTGCAACAACCTGGTAGAGTAGCTTATTATTCCTATTTTATTGATAAAGACACTGAGGCTTAGGGAGGTTAGGGGCATTTGCCCTGAAGCTAGTATAATTTAAAGCTGCGATTCATACTGACTCTAGTAGCTGTGTTCTTTCTTTTATGTCATGCTTCAGACCAAGCACTGGGGTTTGTCTCCTTTCTATCATCTAATCACATTGTGCCCTGATTTTCTAATCTGAAACACTACCAAGACAGAGTCACAGCAATGACAGGCTTTTCAAAAGGTGGCTACAGTCCTAAATCTGCAAAATAATTTTCTCTTCTGATAACATTGAAAGTATAGGGACATTGGTAATATCTCTTGTCTTCTGGTATAGTTAGGTTTCCAGAGATAGAGAGTATCTTGATAGAAAAATACTGGGGTAACCTTCATCAATTTTCTTAGCTCAGAGCAGAAAGACCCCTGGTATGAGTGGATTTCCTTTAGGGAAGATGAGCTGATTAATTATTAAAGACTACTGAGAGCTTTTTTTTTTTTTACTCAGTTTCTCTGGTTTCTGGGGGCAGTAGCTATCCTGAAGGAGACAACTGCATTTTCTGTTCTGCCACACGCACATGCTTGCAGGCAGGGAAGAGCAAGAGGGTATGTCCAGATTACACTGAGTGGCTTCTGTGCATGGCGATGATACAGTGAAGTGCTTTGGGTCCTTTATGAATGCATATAGTGCTTCTAATGGGAAACTCGCCAGAGGTGAAAAAATTGAGTGATCCTGGGAGAGCAACTCCTAGAAGCCCCAGGATTTTTCCATGATGCATCGTAAGCTAAAGGGTATTTGTTAGGACCAGTCATAATCTTGGGTATGTGCATTCACACTCACCTCTTTTATCTTTTCTTTATCTTGTCCCAGATTATTTCCACCAGTCTATTTTCTTTTCAAGCCCTATTCCAGTTGTCCGTATACATATGCTATATGTACCTGAGCCAGCTTGAAGGAGGACCACTGTAATTGCATGATGACTGTCAGATGACAAAGGGGGAGGGGTGGAAAATAGGACATTACATATATAATTTTTGCAACAAATAAATTGTCTTCCAAGAGAAGTTTTTAGTTTTTTCTGCTTTTCCTCAGAACTCCACCATCTCTTTTTAAAGTTGGCCTATTTAAGAAGGACAGAATCTCTCAGGCTTTGTGACCTGTCATTTCTTGGCACAGGAGCTTTTCATAGAAGCACTGATTTGAGTCATGGAGCACTGAGCACTATCTCTGCCTCACTTCCTCTAGAATTCCCTAAAGCATCACAAAGCTTCATTAGTCTAGACACTGAAATCTACTGGGGACTGAGTTAATTTTTACCTCTGAGTTTTGTCAGAGAGGAGTGGAAGATGACTAGACTAATCATTTTTTAAAATTATAAAATAATATATGCTTATAGATTAAAAAATACAGATATCCATAAAGGAAAAGTCACATGAATTTCCCCCAAGCTAACCACTAACAGTTTGGTGTGTAACCTTCTAGACAGTTTTTCCATGTGGAAAATATACTTCTAAGATTTTTTACAAGATTTATACTATACTTATTATACTGTTACACAGAGTATCTTGGGCATATTTCTGTGTCAATATTGTAGACCTAATTCTTCTTAAGGAGAAGCCTCATTTTGTCCAGAATATTTGTCTGATGCCCTCTTTTCTTCCAGATCAGTGGTTCTTAACCTTTAATGTTCATAAAAATCACTTGGAGGACTTATAAAATACAGAGTGCTAGCGCCCCCCCCCATAGATGCTGATTCAGTGGGTCTGCTGTGACTAGAGACTATGGTGGACCTTGGTGATTTTCCTTCCCTCTTTTGATTTTTTTTTATTCCTTTCAACAGATGGCCAGAAGAGCCCTTATAAATAAGTTCAAGCGATTTCAGCTTCAAAAAAAAAAAAAAAATGAGATACATAAAACTTCAGGCTTAGAAAACAAATAAATTGAGCTGACAGGGCAGAGGAGAGGAGAGGGAGGTGCACCGAGGCTGCCTGAGAGGACTGGATTCCTGTAAGGTGCCATGTCCAGCAGAGAAACAGCAAGGCACGGAAGAGGGAGAAGAGAAGAGTTCTGGTTAGGGTTTAAGAGGATGATCAAGACTCCTGCCATGATACAGGAGTGGGCTGAGTTCTAAAACCAGAGGGACTTCAAGGGACACCAAATCCCAGCCCCTAGGGGTGAGCCTGAAGACAGGAACCAGAGGCAGTGGTGCTTGGGAAGTAAGGCGCAGAACCAGATTAAGTTGTGTGCATGCATGTTGCTATGGGGAGCCCTGTTTTAAGGGTGCATATCTCCAGGGATCTAGAACTTTGTTTACAATGGAAAGAGAATATTTTTAGTAACAAGCAATCTTCAGTTTGTTTAATTGGAAGTGGTCTTTTAAATAATAAGGCATCCTAATGTTTTTGATATGAACCAGTATGCAAACAAATATTTGCAGTCCTACTTTTCAGAAACATTTATTGCACAAAGCAGGATTTTTATTGTAGACTTCTTGTGTTTATGTTAGACTTCAGGGAAATTAAAAGATGTAGTTAATCAAGTGTGTGTGTGTGTGTCCCTGTCCATCCACACCTGGATTTTTAAGAACTTGAAAGCATTCTGAGTTCTTCATAGCTCTCCTATGAAGTGACTATGCAGTAGTCTTTCATAGTCTACCCAGAGGAAACTGAAGCTCAGAGGACACATTGATTCCTTTCCCTTTCTTCCCCCTGTCCAGCCTCTCAGAAAGCATTGAACCAAAAGCATAACATGCTAAACTCAATCCAGCTAACCTCTTATTATGCAGTTAATAACAGCCACTCTATTAGTGGCTTTCTCTATTAGTATTGATTGCTTTTCTTTCCATCTAAGATGTGCTGTTCATGGTTTCCTGTGTCTGGTGTGCTAGAAACAAGTAGTTAAAAACACAGTTGTGTGAGGCACCTGGGTGGCTCAGTCAGTTTCCAACTTCGGCTCAGGTCGTGATCTTACAGTCTGTGGGTTTGAGCCCCGTGTCGGGCTCTGTGCTGACAGCTCAGAGCCTGGAGCCTGCTTTGGATCCTGTGTCTCCCACTCTCTCTGCCCTTCCCCCGCTCGCTCCCTGTCTCTCAAAATAAAAGTCATTAAATTAAAAAAAAAAACAGTTGTGTATCACAAAATCATACCAATCTTCAAGAAGTTATTCTCCAAAAAGTGCCTTAAACTCAAGCCGAGTGGCTCACATTCTCTCAGACTGGAGCAGGATTAAACAGGGGCTAGCCATACTAAGACTGCCTAAAACATAACAGGGTTGTTTTTCTTTTCTCTATTTTCTTAAGTCTCTAAAGGTGTTCATACTAAAGTGTGAAACCAAAGAATTGTCTGGCAACATGAAATTAAATAGATCTGAGAATTGTTGTCTTATTTTTAGTTAGCATTTACATAGCATTTTATAATTGCAAGAGAACTTTACAGTCCATTTTAGTATCTGATATCATTGAATGGAACATAGCCCAGTCCTTCACTGTCCTCTGCTAATCAGACTCTTGTTAAAATGGTAGGTTTTGCACATACAAATAGAAATGGCTATAAACAAAGCCTAGCTTAAATTCCTGTTGTTAGTGTCCTGTTATTCACCAGGGTCAAGCCAGGTCGCATGCTGGCCCTTGCCCTGCCTTAAGGCAGCGGCATTCCCTGGGACAGTGTTTATTCAGCCAGCTGAAGCAGAGAATTGAGATGCCTCAGTTATCAAGATGATTCATTCAAAAGTGTTTCTTTGGTTGGAGAGCTTTAGAATTATTGACCCATTTCTGCACTTTTCATTAAAAAAAAAAAAAGGAAGTTGTAAGTAGTAATCTTGAAGTGTTTTGTTTTGTTTTTTATCTCTGTACCCTCAAGCCCTAGCCGGGTACCTGGCCCATAGTAATAGATATATGTTATCTATTACAGCAACATTATGAAAAGAAATAATATT